ATATATATATATATATATATATATATATATATATATATATATGTGCGCAACGGTAAAATCGCCTCCGTATATGTACAGCTATTAATGAGCGCAGTGGACTCCGAATGCTGAGACCACTACGTAAAATCAGAGGCAAGTAGGTAACCCCATGTATATGTCCACCATTGAATTAATAGAACGTCATAGATGCGATCCACCATTTTTTGGGCGGAGGCCAATTTGACCAAACACATATACAGTTATTTTTTAAGGTTCGCCGGAACGATACATGATGGAGCAGCTTGCTAGTACACTTATACATTCCCCGATGTGTGCATGCAGCACTGACCTCCCTTTACGAAACATAAATTTTCTCCTCCGAGATCTGACAACTGCGCATGGAGGCGGCTGCGTTTGTTTGTCCACTATGCACTACATATTATCTCAAAATTTAAACACATGAACTTATGAATTTTCTTTTCCATGGAATAGCAATGAGTTTGCTTCATTTTTTTAGGTCATAATGATAGGCAAAGGAGGGAATCGTAAGGAAAGTTACGAAAATTATTCAGTTTTTTCGGTATAATCAAGATAAATTATTATATCGTGGAGAAAATCATTTTTCGCCATAGCGGGAGCGAAGTGCACATTTTCCTCTCCCTTCGTGACAAAGGTGTATATGAAATTTTTGTTGCTCGCGTTCGCGAAGCAGGCGTAAATCATCGCTTTATAGCCACGCGGGTGATAAAATACCGATAAATAAACTAAGAGATCTATCAATTGAAGAGGTCAGAAGATATGTTAAAATCAATACATTAGACAAATGTACAACTAGCATATTGATATAAATTTTATATTCTTGTGAAATCGTTACATCTCCGATGATTTTCTTTATCAATATTTCCATTACATGTACAAAAAAGTTTGTGAGTAAACGATCATGCTTGACTACATACATTATACACCTACACTTTTATACACCTAGACTTTTAGCCTAAACCCCATCTTCCTTTCGAACTAAACGAGAATGATACATAAGGTTGTGACAGGAAAAGGCTCTTAACACATTTCTGTAGATAATGACCAAAATAATTCCCACTCAACAATGACTCAAATATTTCGCATCTAACTTGAAGCCCGTATTAGAAAAATGACACGAGGATAGTGTTTTCTTATGGCAATCATGTTTTCTTTAGATTCGAGAAGATGGTTCTTTCTTCTTCCTTACTTCGGAAAATTTTTCGTAATACTCATTTAGAAAATCATGTAAAATACAAAGAGGGTAGAAATTTTCTTGGAAGAATGAGCAAACTTGGGGAAACGCCCCATCAAAATATTTACAGGTGCAAAGTGAATTCGTAAAATAAATCTTGTTAAATTTTTGCTTTCCGCAATATCAATTATCAACAATTTAACAAAAGAAATTGTATACAATATTTTGTCAGCTGACATGTCCAACCTGAACTGTCTTGCGATTTTTTCTTACAAACATGATGGTTTCCTGGATAATAAACAATAAATTCTCAGAAGCTTGTGTCTCATTGAAAAATTAAGTTTTTGCTACATTCAAATATCTTGGGCATAAACGATTATTGATGGACATATCAATAGTTTTTTTTGTGACTGAATAAAGTTTTCTTCAATTTGCTTGAATGAACTCCCAACATAAAATGTCTGCAATTTGTTTTTTTCCCCTCAAAACCAGGGAATTATGAATGAATTCTCACTCTCCTTTTTTCCCATTAGAAAATGATGTCATTGTTGCTCATAAAATTTCTCCTTCCATGAAATATCTTATATCACCCATGAAATAACGTCATTCGAATATAGATAAGTGTATAAAAATTCGTCAAAGTTAATAACATTCAATTAGTCAACGATTTCCAGACATCGATAGATTCCCAGATAATTCATGTTCAATGAATGTGCACATGTTATATAATAAATTCCACCTCAATCGCTAATCGTTATATAATAAATTCCACCTCAATCGATAATCGTCATATTACGAGGAGAATCCATAGAGTGATTGTCACAGATTTGTATGCACATACGAAGGCCTCCTCAAGAAAATCATTACTTATCACGATATGAGTTATAAACGTAAATTTTAACTCGAACCCAATCTTTATTCCCGAGTAAAGTTGGATGTTTCTTTATCAGCTCCTCACACTCCAGTTTCTTGGAAGCTTTTTTATTTTTGATGTGTTGTTTGAAGTGATTCTTAACCACTGCAATTTGTTGAGGTGTCCATGCACTCCTGCCACTCAATTTGGGAGCTAAACACAAAGTATGGTATTGTTTTACAGTTATCAGGCTAAAATACAGAGAAAATGAATCTTTTGATTCATATGATAACTTACCATGAGCTGTTGGCGCATCCGACGTGGACGGATTTGAACACTCAGGAATCAAATTGGTAGTTGATATGTGGATTTTTGCTCCAGGAGACTCTTCATCCTCAGAACCTTCAGACACTGGAACCTCGATTTCTGGATCAATATAAATTTCGCTCAACGATTTTCCTTGGTGTTTATGACCTTCTCCCTTATCCATAAGTATCAATAATTTTGATACTTTCGCAGTCCGATAAACATCCTGCGGTAATCTGTAAAAAATTATGTTATTTGAAAAATGGATTCCCGAGTGTCCTTAGGGAAAACAAGCGCAATATCACATCAATTTTCTTCGATATTGACAACAAGGGTGTTGAATTTTTTTTCCCACATTTTCGAACATCTTATCACTTGCCTCAATGATTATTTATCAACTGATTTTTTTAAGGTGCAAACTCACGTTTTTGCTCTTTTCTAAGGTTTTTCGTTAGTTTCCACGGTATGACATCATTGTAATGAGCTCATTTTTTGACAGTCTTTTGCATATAAAACATAATTTCGTTATTTCAATTGCGGATGCATAATTCCCCTAATTTCAGGCGACCAACACTGGTTCACCACTGGGCTTCCAGTGGTATTCATCCCAACATGTATAGAAAATATTTAGTAAAATGTTAGCTGAGGAATTAAATTCAATTTCTCTTGATCTATATTTTCTCTATAAAAAACTGTCAAGATTTTGGGTTATGTTAGAAGAAAAGAAAACCGTGCCAAAAATGATAATGACCAAGAATTTCTAAAGGAAAGAAATGGACCACAGAAGAGAATGATTTTCCGTGAAACTCTGAGGAAACGTTCGTAAATTCTCCTCCCGTAGTATTTCACTCGAATTCTCATAAAATCTCCATTCTATCTTTCTAGATAGTCGAATTTTTCAGCGAATTTCCCTACTTTCTCTTTTGAATATTTCATTAGTAAACTGCTGAGTTGACGTGAATAGTGGGAATTTTTTTTCCAGGATAGTTATTTTCAATTGTATGACACAGAAAGTTACTCTTTCGTTGTTCAAATGGTATTATTTTGTGTTCTTACTTGTAAAATTCTTCATGAGTTTTCACTGTGTGACCCATGAATTGGGCGAACTGGTCGGTTTCATCGGGTTTCAGATTTAGAATTTGCATAACAGTGGCGATCTGTTTCCGCAGCTTGTTGGAAGACATATGCTCAGGGTTTTGTATTTTACATTTCTGAGCAAATTGACGAATCACTAAATCACTTCTTACCCAGCGTTGACTTCCATGATGTGCGAATAAATATTTATTATCCTCAGGAACCAGATGCGTTTTCAGTCGGATATCAATGAGAACGTGCATAAGATCTTGGAGATGCTGAGGGAACAGAATCACTCTCTGCTGCCTTTCCCCCCAGTTTACTACTCTTGTATAATGTTGGGTCAGAATTTTCTCAGATGAGCATTCATACATTCTTCTTGGTTTATGCATGAGGATTGATTGCTGAGATATGTTCCTAATTCCGTATACTGAACGTCGCCTATACGCCTTCGATTATACAGGATTGTCAGGGTAAGTGCTGCATTCACCAATTTTTTATATTGTTGCTTGTCAGCGTATATTGTTCGGGTCAGCTTTCAGAGACGCAACTGCTTGATTCGCAACCTGACTAACGTGGTTTTTGAATTTCAAAATGTCTTGAGTTAACGGTAAAATAGTAGGTTTGTTCCATTTTTTCTCGGCAAGATTTTTAAACGCCAAACTACTTATCTCTGTTGTCCATTGAGTGACAATCAAATTTTTGAAACATTCCACCATTTCGATTTTAGCTTTCGGGTCCATACCATTCATTTCCCATTTTTGCCTCTGGATTAAACTTATAAGTAATTCGCAAACCTGTCTAAGAGAAGTGCCGAGATGGGCCGACAAACTCGGAGCTCGATAAGTTTTTTGTATTGGATCATACCCACCAAGTCTTGGCACATTCTATCACTTTATCAAACCTGGATGGATCGATAACATCAACCAGTTTGAAATATTTATCATTTTCGAGTAGCCTAACTTCTATCAGAAGCCTAGCCAGCTCTCTCATTTTGTTAGAACAAACTACGGCCATTTGTTTCCGTTTATGCTTCTTTAAGTACTGTTCACCGAAATTGTATATCAAGGGATCTGTTTTGGCAACCATTGATATTGCATCTGCGTGCATTATTCCAAACACATCGGTTTTCACACGCAGTTTGTGAATTGCATTGCTACTGTCGATCGAACACGCTACCATACTTTGGGATGCTGACAAATGCTGAACTTTGCTTGAATCTTGGCTTATTTTAGCTGCAGAACACTTCTTATAATGGCGATACAAATATTGTTTTAAATGGATTCCTTTGCATGCTGAACATGGAGCATATTTGCTATCATTTGATTTAGCCTTAGTGTGATACAGAGGTCTTGTTCTGCCTCTCAGATATTCTTCAAAGTGTCCACAATCTCGTAAAAGTCCTACAATTTTTCTCCTTTCTCGATTCCGTTTAGAAAAACTCAACATTTCGATAACTTCTTTGCGGTCTTTATGATTCCTTTCTAAGTGACGTTCAAAATTGCTAACTTCCAATTTGCAGAATTTACAATAAGTTGTTTTCTTCCGATATCTTGAAACTCCAAACTGAAACAATTGGTATTTTTATATTTCACGAGTTGTAGCAGACACCGAGTATTCGGGTCAATTTACCCGTGGTCTCAATTCTATTCAAAATTCTATTGAAATCCTATATCAATTTTTTTTTGCTATGCCCAAAAACTAATAGAAAGTTCTACAGAAATTTAATAGATGTCTAGCGCATATGAATTTTTTTTCAATCAAATATCGATGACGAAATGGCACGAAAATAATGCATCATTCAGTGGACAAGTCTCTCTCTCTGAACAATATGTTTCCGAGCGAGAGGGTGGAGAAGGGGGGGGGGGAGAAACGATAGACTGAACGCGTTTCGGAGTGATAGGCGCTGAGTAAAAAGCCTTGAAAGTTCTCTGCGACTTGTTCGCACAGCCCATGCAGAAGTTGCGGGGAGGAGAGGTTGAAATGAAATTTCAGTGGATACACAGACAAAGGAAAATTACTTATGTCAAGTAACTTTGTTCAATACAACTGAATTGCCTAACAATATTAACAATAATCTCCATTTCAATTGTTGTCTCAAGAAAATTCACTTGGCATAAATAAAATTTTTTTCAGCGTAGAGTGTTTGTATGAATACAAGTTTCGCTTTTCCAATTTTCCACTTTCCTAGAGAATGATGCAGAGAGTCTACGTGGGTAATATTGCTTGATCATCAGCTATTACGCTAGCTGTGAAGTGGTGTTGACTATCTTTGAAGGCTCAACAGATATTGCGCGGAATCAAAAGACGATCGTATTAGGAAGGAACTGATCTGAGATGCAAGGATACCACTAGAAATATGAATGAGCGGTCGAGAAATTATACAATTAAGCGATGATTGGACAATTGTGAAAACGAGAGAAAAGATAGAATCAGGAGAAGTTTCCTTGTTTGTTAAAGTAGATTCAATGGAGATCGGCGTAAAAAAAAATTCCAATAGAATTTCAGCATAATTCTTATAGAACTTAAATGGGATTCTTGTAGAATATACGACAATGAATGCTAGCGTTTTTTTTTCAAATGACCCATTTTGAACGTGATATATTAAAATCAAAGAGGCGGAGAATAGTTGAACAACAGAATTGTCTGAGCCCGATGTAAATTTAAATTCTCCGTGGGGACATATGAATGAATACACACATACCCTTCTTTGTGGTTCTGCATGAGGCCGCTGCTGTTGGTACCAAGTTTCCTGGAATTTGTTTTTCAACAGGTCCAGTGTCACCCAATATCGCCTTATCTTTCGCGTTAATCTGCTCTGGCAAGTTAACTCCAAGACTTTCGTAAGAATCCTCAATACGTTGTCGTCTTTGTCCATGTGTATTGATTAATTCGTCGTTGTCATCCGATGAGTACTTCGAACTTTCAGTGACCTAAAATCATTATTTTTATCATCGACATTCTCAGAAATAACGGATATTAGACAATTAACACGCAGCGATTTTCATACTAGGAGAGGAAAGCATCATCTGATATTTACGATATGTTGAACGAAGCTATAATAGAATATTCATAGAAGTCACAAAAATGAAAGGTGTAATGTTATTTACATAGAAAACACATGGAATAGTCAAGCGTGCGCTTCAAGTTTTCTATGGAATGTCTTCATGAATGCTGAAAGTTTATAAATTATTAGGAGTTGGAATTAATTCGTAGAGTTTTACAACAGATTTCTTATGCAAAAAAATGCTATGAATTAATTCCAACTCCTAATACCTCTTAATGAAAAATGAAATTTTTCATGTATGGGTTAGTAAACAATGAAAACTAATGATTGGAGTATCAACTAAACAACTCGATACTATTCAATCGCGGAGAGATTACACAGTGCCTTACGTCACTTTCCTCGGAGTCGGTAGGTATAAACGTTGGATCATTATCGGCATCGGCGTCATCATCGTGGAATGTATATACGTCTAAAATTCAAGGGGTAGGGTTATATTGAATATTACGTTTTAATAATGTAAGTAACAACATGAGGCGGTTGTCAAGCGGAATAACAAAATAATTCACTTTTGACCTAAAGCGATTTTTCTCACGAGAATCAAGTTTTTTTCTGGTCGAATGAAATTAGAGCGAATTAGTTCAAAAAGTACAGTCTCAATATCAATATAAAATGCTGATAAAACTGAAAATTTTATTCATTTCCCACTCTCATTTCAAATTCCAGGAAAATTGGAAGAATTTGTGAATATCCGAAATTAATATCTATTGTCCATTATCCAGTCATTTTGAAAACTTTCAGCGTTATTGCTATCTACAACTACCGAATTTTGCCCCCATCGCTTTGCACTCGACGCGTTATAGCTGGATAGTTTTCGGTAATATCCGATTACTGATGGTAAAAAGAAATATTTGCAGGAGAAAAAAATGTTTGTGATCGTGTGGAGGCTTTCTTGATATTATGACTGAAAATATCTGTCTGCTTGTGATTTTCACGTGACTTATCAACACACTTCTCGGACTAAAATGAATTTATTTTGTCTCTCTGACTGGTTCGTAAAGAAAAAAGGAAAGAAACGTTAGCCAAATCATATTAGGTCAATTTGATTGCATACATAAAACTTACCATCATCAATTGCTGGCTTCTATTGGAGCTACTTTTGCGGCTTTCCTCTTCTTTTTGTTGTGTTGAACACTGATAAATCGAATGAAAACTAATTAGTAGGATCCTGAATTTATTTTCAACCCGAATCAAGTGTTAAAAAATATATAGATGGTAGAGTTTGAAGGGTATTTTTTTTCCTAGTTTCATCGATTTTTCTACTTGGACAATTTTACGTTCCGTTCGTTACTTGTGGGTCATGAAATCTCTATTTCTCATAATGATAGTATTAATTTAACAAGATCTTTGAATAAAAGAATTTGCTTTATGACAAGGTTGAATCAGTTTTGAATTTTCCAGCACTTGTTGGACATTCACAATTACTATTTCATAAACTATTAATATAGATCTTCGGAAGCACTGCGGAAAAGTGATTACTGCACTCAACTAAGAACTCATCATTTGATTAAGTAATCCATCCAATTATTTACCCTTCCATTGTGATCTCTTAGTTCACACGCACTTCGAACTCGGAGATGCACTGTGCCCCGAGAGCTCGGGGCGCTGGTCATTTGGTCAACCGTCATGGCAGCGTGACGTTCTTTTTTTTGTGTTTCGCAGAATCGCTGCTGGCCATGCATTGACCATCAAGAGAGTTATCACATTGTTTAGACTCCGAGTTCGTGGAATAATATATGATGGAATTTTTTATTGGAAAGAACATACTAACCAAATTCTCGGCTTGCGTGCCTCACGATTTTCTTACTTTATAGAATTGTAGAATTGTTCAATGTTTCGGAAATGAAGTTTTACTTACCGTTTTTCGTTCCATAGTACGAAACGAACAGAACACATTTATTATCCACCTTGAACAGCATAATATTCTTGGAAGTTCACTGGTAAGAATTCCCTGGCATTAATAGTTGATATACAAGAACTGTCTAGAATGGATTGTAGAAATGTTTATATTGATGTTATTCTCAAACACTTACTTTCCGAATTTTTCCACTCTTGCTATTATTGAGTAAATAGGACTACTCTATGAATTCTTTCCTCAAGAGTATGGATAAAAAATATCGGTTGATTATGCATATAGAACTCGGCCTATCATCATGTGCCATAATATTGAGGACATCATAGTCGTTATAGTTAGAGTTTCGATCTGCATGATCCCCTAATTATCTCTAAATATAAGGAAATACATGTACGGAATGTAAATTTGAAATATTCCTAATTGTAACGGAGCGAAAGCACTGTAATGTGTGAAAAATCATCTTGCAATATCCGCTATCAATCAATTAGTCCATCCATGATCGAATGCTGCATGGATCCATCGGTTTTCTGCAGAGATAAAAGTATGAATGAGGAACAATGCCATCGATGAAGCATTCCAATGATCAGATGTAGTTGATTCAAAAGTGAAGACTTGTAGAACCAGATTATTGAAAAAACGATTTATAGCTCGGTTGGCATGTTGAAGACATTGATCGAAGGTTCCATCCTTATGGTATCCTTACATGTTTGGAGAGGAATCAAGAAACTGTGATTTAGTTTTATTGACATTGTTAGAGGAAGGTGAAGTGGAAGAGGTAAAATTTATCGACATTTTACGGCCCATTTATGGCTCATTGTAAAGGGAACTTTTTCGATATGGAAGATTAAAAAAAAAATTGGAAAATCTATTACTGAAGGGAGATGAATGAAATCGATGAAGAATAATCTTTTATGTGCCGTAAAAATCGTTTTTCGTTATAGTAACAAATATATTCA